AACTTCAAATATAATTACTAATTAGTTGTTTTTTTTTCTCCAAACAACTTATTGGTCTCCCTTAGCTCAGAGTGACATCGGTTCAGCTCTCATTAAAAGTGTTGTTTTACTATAACTGAAACGTTTAATGTTATGTTTTAATTGTTTTTTGTTTTTTTTTTTTGTGAAACATGATTATTTTACCAATATGTTTATATAACATGCTTTCATATAAAAGTCACCTCCCAAAGGGGATGTTTAAAATCAAGTATGTCTTTTTTTTTTTTTTATCATGAAACTTAAATGAGAAAAAAAAATTTAATATAGTAGGAAAGAAGAAAAAAAATAAATTTTTAAACAGAGTTAAAAGTATTAGTTTTCAATAGAAGATAGGTGCATAAACCACACAATAAATAAAAACATGATGGTACTGGATGCCACAGATTAACAAAGCTTTGCTGCATTTTGGGAACCCTTTGTTTAGGATTTTCCAATCACAAGGCTTGTGATATAAAAGAGTCCAGACTTGATAAACAGAGAGATTAGATTTCAAAAACTGAATCTATCTTCTTTTGTTTGCCTCACTATAAATAAAGTATTGTTTTACTTCTGGCGCCTTTTTGGTCAAGGGAGTTGTAAAGTTGGTCCTTCACAACCAGGCTCCTTTGTAAGTTGATCTAAATCTTTTTATGGATTCCAGATTGAATTTATGACATCAGTATGACCCGTTTAAAATGATAATCTCTGCTGACAATTAACCCTAATAGTTTAGACACAAACTGACTTTCTATTTGCACCATATGTCTCGATAGAAAATGCATTTACTTGAAAACTAGTTAAGAACATTACTAGCAGTTGTTTGTGTCCCCTAGACATTATGCTGCTTTTTGTAACGTTTTTGTTTCGTGATGGTTTAAATGATCTGCTCATGTCATGTTCCTCCCTCTGTTTTTATGTTCTTCCCTTGTTTGTTTTCTTATTGATTCCATCTGCTTTTTAAATCTGCACCAGTTTTAATTTTAGATATTTTTAAATTGAGATTTTATCACCAGAACCTCCAAATTGAAATGTGATTTGTTTGTTTCAAAGTAAAAGGAGTAAAGTTTTCATATATTCTCAGAATTCTTTTTTTAAGCTTGTCATGTGATGTCTTGCAGGGAGCTGGCCTATCAGATTGCAGAGCAGTTTAGAGTTCTGGGGAAGCCTCTGGGTTTGAAAGAGTGCATCATCGTTGGAGGAATGGGTAATTAAATGAGCAGCATCACTGACAGACTGTTAACGTATGCCTTACATCCTGTGTTTGTTTGATGTTTCAGACAGAGCAGGTTTCACACATTAAAACATATTGATAAAAAAACATATTAATTAGCAAAATACTTTCAGTTTTTTAGATGTTTTAAGCTTTACCCCTTATTTGGAGCCAACTTTACTCCTGTCTAAACCATGGTTCTCTGCAGCTTTAACCCTGAGTGACTTGTTTCCTCTGTTTTAATGATGTGGACAGACATGGTTAGCCAGGCCCTGGAGCTAACCAATCAGCCTCATGTTGTCGTAGCAACACCGGGTCGGCTGGCCGATCACATCCGCAGCTCCAACACTTTCAGCATGAGCAAGATCAAGTTCTTGGTGAGATTTTGTTCAGCTTTATAGAACTTGATTACATTTTTTTTTATTAATTTGCGTGGATATTTTACTAAATGAATTAAAAAAAAGTTCTTTATCAGCCTAAATCAGAAGCACTTTACTCCTTTTTCAGTTTTTGACCACCCCCCTGTGTCTTCTTTGTGGTTTATTGCCTTTTCCCCCCCCAAAGATTCTTGATGAGGCGGACCGGCTGCTGGAGCAGGGTTGTACTGACTTCACCAAAGACCTGGAGGTGATCCTGGGCGTCTTACCAGCCAAACGTCAGACTCTGCTGTTCAGCGCCACGCTGACAGACACCCTGCAGGAGCTTAAGAGCATCGCCATGAACAAACCTTTCTTCTGGGAGAGCACATCAGAGTGAGTAAACCTGATAGTTTCCATCTCTACAGATTTGTCTTCGTCTTTAAATTGGATATTTGGATTTCAACAACATTCTCAGCCTAAATCGTTTTACTTGTTAAAATAAAACAGGTCTGGGAGGAGTATAAAAGTTTTTTTTTTTTTTTATTTACACTGCGGCTAAATTGCTTGCAAATAAAGCAAATTAAATCACAGCATAACTGTGAGGTGGAAGAAAGGAAGCTTGGGTTTTCTCATGTTTTTTTTTTTTTTACAATAAAATATTAGAGTATGGTTTTAGGTGCTAGAACTTACCTAAACATTTCAGTTTGCACTTTCCATTTTGTCTAGACTTTGCCTGGGCTGCACTAACATGCATGAATATTATGCTTTTATCTAAAATATTCCATTATAGGTTTGACTTTTTGCTGCTTTTGTTATACTGGAGGTTGAACCTTCATCCCTACCTTCTGCAGCCTGCCATGAATACCCCATTTTCCTAAAAAAAAAAAAAATAATTAAGATTCAAGATGCTTACAAATCTGAGTATGAGAAATGTAGTTATACAGAGAGTTGACTTAGAAAGCCTGAATTCAAACTTTTAATTTAGAAAAAATAAATCCTTTTATTCTCATTACACTCTTTGGTTATGCACCATTTTTTATGTTAAGCTATCCTGTTGGATACTTTATCTGTAGTTACAAAAGTTTGAACACTTTAGATGCTTTGACTATGTATGAATACATTTCAAGTCTAACATGCAAAAAAAAAACCTTCCTCTTGGTGAACTCAGCAGCTTGTCCAGTGACTGGTATTAAAGATTTTTTTGCTATTATTGTTAGAACGAGGACAGTGGAGGAGCTGGACCAGAGATACATCCTCACTCCAGAGAAGGTGAAGGACGCTTACTTGGTCCATCTGATCCAGACATTTACGGACCAGCATGACGACTGGTCCATCATCATCTTCACCAACACGTGCAAGTGAGAAGCCTAGAAACATACTAAGATACTCAGTGATCCATTAAACAAGTGCAGCTTTGGTTTCTTTTAAGCAGTCTGCATCATTGCAATGGAGCTTCATATAACAAAGGAGCTTCTTTTGATTTCAGGAGCTGCCAGATTCTGACTATGATGCTGCGGGCTTTCAACTTTCCTACAATCTCTCTGCACTCAATGATGAAACAGGTAGGATCCATCAGAACAGCCCAGTGGGTTGGAGACATCAATCTTTTGATTGTGACATCTTAGCAATACAAACCTCTATTTGAATCTTCAAACGGAAAAAAACCTAATTCGGGGAAGACCCGAGCGCCTTTAAAACAGATGCCTCTCCTTTCCGTTCTCTAGAAACAACGGTTCGCCAATCTTGCCAAGTTCAAGGCCAGCGTCTATAAGATCTTGATTGCGACGGATGTAGCTTCCAGGTAGATAATTCTAGAAGACTCCACACCTTTCAGGATTCAGTAGGGGGTTTGTTCTAATTCCTCTTCTTCTCTCCTTCCTCTGGTTTTCAGGGGGTTGGATATTCCAACTGTGCAGGTCGTCATTAACCATAACACCCCAGGGCTTCCAAAGATCTACATCCATAGAGTGGGGAGAACCGCAAGAGCAGGTACAGGGAGGAATCTGCAGCCTGTTGGGGGAATTTACAGAAAGCGAGAACTTTTCTGAAATCACACGTCGGTTCTGGAATTTTCATATTGGATGAATGTTATTTTGAAGAACATTTCAACTTGTTATGCAGGGAGAAACGGAGTGTCCATCACACTGGTGACGCAGTACGACATCCATCTGGTCCATTCGATCGAGGAACAGACAAGTAAGTCACATCAGGAGAAGCTGCTCAAGCTGGAAAGACTGATTGGCCATGATGTGATGTTGGATAGCAGATGAGATGAATTCATTCATTCATATTGCATTATTGAATAGTTTTGCAGTTGTTTCCCTGATCTCAATGAGTTGCAGTAATCTGAATGGGTCATTAGTTCGGCCGTGGTCTGCTTGATCTCATCCTTCAACTATTTGTTTGGATTTGATGGATTTTTGTTGTCATTTAAATCTACAAAACTGTTCATGAACCTATTTTATTATTTTTCTTTTAGAAACTAAGTTGAAGGAATATCCTATGGAGGAGAAGGAAGTCCTAAAGATCCTGACTCAAGTCAACGTGACTCGACGCGAGTGTGAAATTGTATGAACTTTCCTTAAAATATTTATATTTTGTCGCTTTATAATTTAAAAAGGTTGGAATGTCCAAAAAAAAAAAAACTATGTCCAAAAGAAAGCATTCTTCAGTTGTTGATGGCTACTTCATAGTAAAAAATATAAACAAACTGAAGTTTTATTTATACTTTAATTTGTTCTTCAGAGACTTGAATCGACAGACTTTGATGAGAAAAAGGAGATTAACAAGAGGAAACAGCTGATCTTGGAGGGGAAGGTAAGAGTATTGTTCTTTTTTACTGCTGTGGATTAGCAGTCGCCTCTCAATAAATTGGACTACAAATGGGTATTATTTAGTCATGTATATAAATTCATTTCACTCATTTAAGGTTTTTTTTTTGTGTTTTAAAGTTGATAAACTCTGAAAGTCAAACATCTAAAACCAATGATATGTGGTCGTATTTACCACAGAAATGTTGGCCTAGATAAACATGTTTTGCTGTACTTTAGCTTTTATTCACTCGGTACTACTATCAGTAGATGTAATGTAGAATGTTGTTTAATGTCTTTTCTCTTAATCTAAACCAAAATAGTATTTGACACCAGTTCCTGCTGCTGATTTCACATCTTTGTGTCGTTTCAGGACCCAGACCTGGAAGCCAAGAGGAAGGCAGAGCTGGAGAAGATCAGGAGCCAAAAGAAGAAATTTAAACAGAAAATCCAGGACAGCATTCAGAGACAAAGACATGGACAGATGAAGAAGAACCGACCTAAAAGCAAAAAGGCAGAGTCGGCAGCATCATAAAAGCTGCCTGATGTACATAAGTTTTATTTCTGTAAAATATCTGCAAATAAACTTGATACCGCTGAAGCTCAAATTGACCACCTTTATTGATTCAGTTTAACAAGGGAAACCACCGTCTCATGATGGAACAGCACTGCAAAGAATATTCACTGCTTCAAATGTTATTTACATCACGTTAAATCCATAAATTTAATTTCTGAGTATTCAGACTGGGTGCAGATGTTTGAACAAATCTACTGAATCACCTCTAAAATAATCAACCGACCTCACAGCAGATGGAAATATTAAATATTAGGGCAGAGTTTCTTTTAAAGCTATCAATATGGTAGACCTTGGGTGGAGCAGGTTAAAATAACTTATAGCACAAATAAGAACAGGATGTCAACAGAAAACATCTACCTGGAGCAGGATTGTCACGTGTGTGCAGACATGAGAAGCAGGTGAGGACTACATTCTTACCATGTTCAGAAAGTGTTGCTTAAATAAAAACTACAACCTCTCGGATAGTTTGAGGATACAGAAGTCCAGGTGAGGAAAGGAGACGGCCTTAGCCTCAGTTCCGCAGTCAGCATGTTGCTACTAAAGACTTTTTTTTCCTTACTCAAGACCAAAAAAATTAAACATTGAACTGATCCTGATGCACACAGCAGCAACCAATTTAACAAAAGCATAAGGTTACAGGTTCACACTGATCTTCAGGAAGCTAAAACATAAATCTAAAAATGCATAAAGCAAAGCACAAAAGCGTTGCACAAATCTTAACCCACTAAAGGTAAAATAACTTCTACCAGCCTGTAATTTTACTCCAGAGAAGGAAGGTGGCTTTTAGTGACAACCAACATTAACGCGGCTGATTTATCGTCACCAGCTCTGATTTACCAACACGAAAGCTCTGAGTTACATGCTCCAACAGGTTGTAGTATGCTGGTAGTTTGACTCTTTACTACATTCATGTGTGCTGCAGCTGTTTAATCTAAAGGTTGAATGGTTTCAGGCACTGATTTTACTTCATTTATATCTTATCTGCCATCATCTGATCAGTGCTGATGGCTGATTCCTGCTGCTTTGCGTATCCAGATGTAGACCAATGATCCTTCAGGGCGTTTATAAATTATAAGGTTACTCATACCCAATTACAACTACAAGGTTGTTTGGTGTGGCTGTTCGTGTTAAAAAAAAAAAAAGGGAGGGAGGGGGGGATAAACAAATACAGCACTCTGTTTCTTGGATCTTTAGTCCAAATAAACAAAACACATTGTCTTTAAAAAAAAGAAATTTCCAACTCTGGCAATGAACTGACCTCTATTCTTTTTCTCCTTGAGCCACCTTCCTTTTCTACCTCTCCGTGGATTGATTGCCACGACAGCCAGTGGGCCTTTTCTATGGTTGCTCATTCCTCTCCCAACTCAAGCAGGGATTAGTTTGATGGGTGTGGAAAAACCCCCTACTATCCCCTGAGAAATCCCTCAGCTCAAAGCATTTTACCATCTAAGCATACAGAGTATAGTTAAAAAGAAAAGGAAAGACATCTGGTCATGAAGCACAGCAAAACGTCAACAACCCCTGCTGTCTTGAGATTACCATAGGAAAAAGCCTTAGCTGAAACATCAAATGACACCGAGCCAAATATTCATTGCTGGTCATGTTTGATAGTTTCAACTTCTTTTTTTTTTTTTTTTTGCAATTTTGTGCTCTGTGGTAAGAAAGGTATCAGAGAAGAAGAACTGTCCCGTGATGATCAGGACATCGGCGGGATTTACATCTCATGCCTGGAAAAAACCTGTCTGAAACCTGTGTGCCATGTCCACCGCTGACACACGGTCAACCTCGTTGAAGACCTTGTGAAAGAGCCAGTGGTTCTAAAGGCAAATGAAGGTATTTCAACATCAGACTTGAGAACAGAAACCAGTGTTCCTACGTCCTCTCTCAGAGGGTGGGTCGCCTGCTGCTTCCTTTAGAGGCTGCCGAGGTTTTGGGCCCAGTGGATGAACCGAATTTCTGAATTCTCTGGGACATTAAGGCAGGTTGACAGACAACCGACCTCCAGCATGGGAACTTTTTTTCTCCTTTTGTTTTATGCTGCTGGTTTTAAAGCCTTCGCACACCATTTCAGTCCAAATTGAGAGTTCTTCAAAATTCCACTGATTGGCTTTAATCCTGGAGCTTTCCCAGAAGTTGCAAGTGTAAAAGGTGGATTTTAAGTTGGGGAGCTGAACCTCTTTTGGATTCTCAGGAGAGACCGTAGATCTCTCGTCTGTTTCCCTCAGCAGCCCGACCAGATGCCGCCAGATCCTCGACTTTCCTCCTTCACTCAGCACGGGCATCGGTTCCTGCCTCTCGCTTGTTCACGCGGCCTCTTTCCATCTCGCTGCCCGTCTGTTAGTGCTCTCTTCTTTTACCCTCCCATTTCTCTTGCTGGTCATCGGTTTGGTTTCGCTATCCCGTCGCTTTCACTTGGAGGTGCTTCGGATGTAGCAGAGGAAAACAGGTATCCATTTTATGTTTGTATTATTTCCCAGATTAAAAAGCTGATGAACTAAGCTCAGCTCAAGCCTAGCTCCCCTCTTCAGGCAACCTGGAAGACACCAAGCAGGTTAAGAAATTAACATTTTTATAGCACTTTAAAACAACTCTTCTACTTTCAAATTTAAGGTGGGAAAGAAAATGGAGAAAGATAAACTTAAAGAATCCCTGAGTAGATCAGTTTGTGTAATTCTTGAATTGCACTAGTTAAAAACAAAATAATTCTTAATGGGACAGATGTTGTGAATGAAACGGTGCCCAGCTTAAAAGAGATCCTGTGTGTCGCTGAATGTGTGCATTGATGACTGAAAGACATCTTCTGCCTCCATTTATCCGTTTTCTACAGTGTGTTGAATTCATGTTAATGTGTATTTAAAGACATTCAAATTAGTGGAAAAAATTGCAGGGGGGAATATAAAAAAAGTCTAATCAACCAAAACTTTCACAACCCCATGCAGTACCTCTGCGGATCCCCTAGGGGTCGCAGACCCCCAGTTGAAGACCTCCGCACTAGGCCAACACTCCCCTTGCTGGCTTATACTTTTACTAGGATTAAGGATTAAATAAACACACAATAATAAGTGACTTTTGGCCCAGAACAGAAGAGCTGTATATACTTACACTTTAGTACTGTGACAGTCCAGTCACCCCGCCATGCTGGTATGCACGTTCACCCTGGTAAGTTGAGTCCTGGGATAAAGCCACGTCAATCTGGGACTTAAACTCATCGCCCAGGTAGCTATCCTGGATAACATGACAACAGCTCTCATCAGAAACACTCAATTCTTATGAGGCCTAATTAGCTAAAAATCACTGACTTTTTATTCATAAATATTAAAACAAAATTTAATGTCATTCTGCCTTTGTTTAATGCTGACATAGTATCCAGATAATGCAGTTATTCTAGGTGCTAGAAAATAACTTTGTAAATACATTTCCATTTCAACAAAGCTTTGCTTAGAAGGTACTAAAATAATCAGCTAACACTTACTGTACTTCAAGAACCTCTTAGTGGTATTAATGAAACATTTTCCATACATTTTGCAGCCCTAACTAATGGTTTACATATTTTTGTCATATTTTCATTACATTTTTGAAAAATTAAGTTGAAGAGAAATATAATCCAAAAACACACAAAAAAAACCAAAGAAATGGAAAAAACTAAAGCTGAGATATTTAGCAGAACATAAACATTATTTAACAGAAATATTTGACTAATCTCTGTATGGGACTGTGTGTTACCTGGGATAACTCTGGCTGGGAGAGGCCAGGTTGGCTCATCTGAGAGGGCTGACTCATAGAGATGTAACCCTGAGTCAGCGGCCCCTGGGAGAAGGACTGGGAGGCCCCATCCTGGCTGGCCTGGCTGTTTGGTCCGTTACCCTGACTGGTGCCCTGGTGCGCCGAGCCACGGACTCTCTGTCTTCCACCACGCCCAAGCTTGCCCTTCATAGCACCACGGCCTTGATTTATAAAAAATATAATTTTAAGAAGGGGAGAAACAAGAAAACTTCTACAACTTGATAACCAAATTAATTATCCAAATGAATAACATTTATACCAAAAAAAAAATAAATCCCAAGTAAGTAAACACGTGAGGGCATATAGTTAGCCATTATAAAACAAAAAGTCATCATAAATGCAAGGCGTTACTCGTACATAAACAGAACTTTGGACACTGAAATTTAGTTTCAACTTTCAGACACATTTCTTCTTAAATAGGAGAGGCTTTCTTCTTTGATTGCAGTAGACCGATATAAAAGATGTCTGGTACACTAGTAGTAGCATAAGCAGCCATGTTTAGCTTTTAAAAAAACGTGAAAATGTACCTGGAGCAGGACCATTAGTTTGACCCAGATAGCTGGGTGGAGGCATTGGAGGCATCACCAGGTTGAAGGGTATAGGGATATTCATCGCAGCCATTTGACCCGGTCCGGTTCCAATCATCCCAATCTGATCGTGTGTTTGAAAGTACATGTTGGATGGACGTCCAGCTAGAAGACAATTCAAAAAAATTAGTTGAGGCAAAACTTAGACAACTGTAGCACCTGCTTTTATATATATATATATATATATATAGTAATAAATACCAGCACTGCTGCGGTCGTAGGCGGAGCCTGGAATGAGTGCCTCGCGGGCATCATACATGGCGGTGCTCATGAAACGTCCTCCCTAAAGTTCACAGTATGAGAGAATAAACAACATCCATTTTATTTCATTAAAAGAAAAAAGTTGATGAATCGAAGAAAGAGAAAACACAAACATCTGAGCAGGGCGGATTTTAGCATTAATGTGAAATCCTTCAGAGGTTCTGTTCAACTCTGTTTACTGGCATCTATTGACTGCATCTATATCCTTTTCCTCATGAGGGAAATGTATTTAACATCCAAAACTAACTGTTTTTCATCTTCAGGATATCAACATAATACCTACACTCATTAAATAAACACCCTAATCATATAAAGACATCTTAAGCAGGTTAAATATAACTTGCTCATTTTTAGTGGGTTGTTTTAGACTTTGGCATTTAAGCTCCAAGTTTTAAATACTGAGCCCACAAGACTTCAGACCTTTAAAATAGCACCCAACCCGCTGAATGATAGTTATGGACCAGGACCGAAGCCAAAGAAAAGAAACAAGGTTTTTATCTTAAATTACTCAAATATATTTTAAGAAGCAGGCCTTTTTTCATGTAGTCTGAGCTCAAGGAACAAATGGAAGGAAGAAACTATAAATGTAATGTAAGTGCACCACAAATTTAAAGACAACTGGAATTTCCAATTTTAGTTGGGCGATCAAAATATAATTAAGACTGAGGTTATGACCCATAAAAGTGTCTCTAATATGCAGCAGAAGCCTTGGTATTGAATCTGGAAATATTTGGGTCTTTTCTACTTTCGTTACTTAACAATTAGGTCGTTTTTTGATAGTTTTTGAGATTAAGTTTTTATAGGAATGATTAATAAAATCTACTCTTCTCTGTATCGACTGATTACGGAGCTTCTTAAGAGCAGACAACTGTATGGTTCAGCAGCTTCTGGTCAGTGTGGGGCATTCACAGACAAATAAAGTTAATTAAACATAACTAGGGTTGAAAACGTTATAGTCTTTACCATCAGCTATTTATATTTGATGCAAAAGAGTGTGCTAAAGTTTAAGTATACTATAGTTTTATTTCTGAAATGTAAACATCCAGAATGTGTGTCAGCCTGCTATATAAATCCAGGATGGTACTAACAGGGTTGATGGTGTTGACCAGTTTGCGAGGCTTGCTGAACTGCATGAGGCTCTCTCTGAGGTTGTTGAGGGGTCCCTCCACCAGGACCTTCTGCTCCTTGTAGTAGTTCAGCAGGTTGTTCCACAGGGGCTGTTTGGAGAGAGCTTTAGGGTTCCCCACAATGATCACACCATACCTTCAAAGACACACAGGACAATGGACCAAGGTTGCAGCAGAGCCTTTCATATGAAACCATTTTTTCCAGTCCCAAAGTGATATCTAGGAATGAATGTAACCTAAATATAACAACTCAAACTAATACTTGACTTAGTAAAGCTGGGAAAAAATACCGACTTAAAAATCAGTTAAGTATAAGCTCTAATTTTCATTCTCTAGTGATATTTACTTTGCTCTGGTCAGTGCCACATTGAGACGACGGGGGTCATTCAGGAAGCCAATGCCCTGATGTTCGTTGGCTCGAACACAAGAGAGGATGATGAAGTCCTTCTCTCTGCCCTGAAAGGCGTCCACGCTGGCAATCTCCACTTGCTGTTGAGAAATAAAGAAAAGATTGCAGGATTAAAATGAAAGAATATATATTGTTGGATAAAACCATCCAAGAATTACATGGAAATATGAACCTAAGTAAAATTATAAGGTTGTTTTGTAGGTTTTAGCTTTAAAGAAACTGTACCTGATACAGCTTGGTGTGAAGGGAGCCACTGAACTGCATGTACTGAACCAGGTAGGAGCGCTGCCCTTCATAAGGCGTGATGATGCCAATCTGATCTGGTTTAGCTCCAGCCTTCAGCAGTCTTGTGGTTATTTTTTCCACGTTTGCAGCCTCAGTCCTGAAAACATCAGCATCAGTTTAATTCTGCACTTTAACAGCCAAAAAGGAAAATAAATGTTAAATGTCATGCCTTCCTGTTTCTTGCCACCAAGTAATAGACCTCGATTGATATGAACAACAGCAGCTCTGATAAGAGTTTAGCAGAACCAGAATTGTGGCCTCATGTTTTTCTTTAATGTTTAAATACAAAGGAGTGTATCTAGAGCAGTTTTATTGTGTGTGATGTTAGATTATCCTTTCCTTTTTCTATGTGGCTGGTCTTAATAACACTAAAAATGCTCCAAGTCACAAAAATCAAGACGATTTTACAGTATGCTGGGCGCCTCTATCACAGTTACATGACGAGACACAGCTGTGACGTCAGAGTAGTCAAACGTCCTCAGATTGTTGTATGGAACCACTACTTTACACATTGTTAAGCACTCTGAAAGGATTGTTAAAATGTCACTACAATAGTCTATTTATTGCTACCAATTGTAGGAATAGCTTTGGATTGGAGAAAAAAAAGTTTAATCATCAAAAAAAAAAAAGTTTTGCGTCAAATTTCGATTTGGAAAGTAAAAAGATTAGACAAAAATCAACAGGACCAACAGTGGCGTCCAAACCGATAAAGCAAACTATGTTCAGATCTCTTCACGGCAGATTCTATAATCAACAATCCTGCTCTCACAGCGTCAGTTGGAATTTAATATACCAAAGTTGCAACGGCTTGTTTTCTCTGCTGTAAAGCTTTAATAAAGTGCCTGATGGCAATACAGCTGATTTTAAGCATTTATTTTTTAATTTCATAAAACAACAAAACCCAAGCTAGTTGCACAGTTTATTATAGCCGCAGCTCCAGACGGATTTCCATATCATTATGGTCCGGGCTCCAGAAAAACAGGAACCACGTTTGACAACAGTCAGTTGCGGCAGGCGGAGACCAACAGCTTGAACCCCACCCACCCAGAGTCATGAGCTGAACACAGTGCTATGTTTTTTTGACCCGGACAGCAGAAAGGACCCAGTGCTTGGACCGCTCGCTGCAATCGATTACTGAGGGACTGCTTTCCCCATCCAGGCACAACAGCAGAGCACAGCCTGCTATCCAGCACTGCACACAGGGCTCCAAAACTAACCGCCAGCCAACTGAACCGAACCCAGCCACCACAGAACCAATCCGAATCCTGTGATCCCCTCTTCAAACAAAAGGTTAGACTCTGGTTTAACCTAATTAAAGCACAGCACCATCTGGAAAATGTTCTGAAAGTTAATGAACTTCCACTTGCTCAGCATAAGCCAAATAACATTTAGCAGCAGTGATTAAACCAGCAAGCATGAATAAAACCACTAAGACTGACTGCTTCGTATTCGTCCTCGCTAAAGAACTCAGTAAGGTGAATAATTATCGACTCGCTATGTAAAATGACCACTTCCTAACTAAACTGACGTCACAGCATCCTAGAGCGTCTCAGTGGGTCATGTGGTCAAATGAGGAATTTAGCTTCATCTGCTATCTTTGTGAATTATTTTATGCTATAAACAACAAAATGCTGGACATTTTTTCACTTGTGATGCATTTAATTTTGTACATACTATCAAATGAGAAACTATAATTATTAGTGCTGTCAAAATTATCGCGTTATTATCGCGTTAACGCGAGGCCATTTTAACGGCGATAATTTTTTTAACGTGAGATTAACGCTATGTGGTTTTATGGTACAATTTTCCAAGTACATCCCGCTGCAGCCTGCGAGAAGGCGGGGCTATTTTCCCCCAGTCTATGCATTTCTCAAAGGCTTCTAGAGCGGAGAGCTCCTCAAGGGAAAAAGACGCTCATACACTTGGTGACGCTAGTGCCTTTTCTTTAAGCCCCACCACCGACAAACAAGTTGAGTGTCTGGTAACTAGTAGCAACCTGAAATACGCTGAGAAAACAGATTACTGAGGTGAAATGGAATCTGCTTCGGCACACTTGCTGTCTGTGTACGCAACAGGTCGGTATCGTGTGTGTGTGTGTGTGTGTGGGTGGGTGTGTCTGTGTGTGGGTGGGTGGGTGCTTGTGTGTGTGTTCTCATTTTTGTTAAGAGGCTGAAAAGTAACTTTCTAGAGCATAGACTACCTCCATCTAGTGATGTCGGTCTATTGATTTTGATGTATTGATTGAAAATTGTTCATTATTATCTTGGTTAATTAACATCTAATGTTAACTCTACTGCATTTTATAGAAGTAGGGTAAAATGCTTGTCTTTGTTCAAAAGACTGTATTAACTGTAAAGACTGTCTTTTACATCAGCCTGTTTTCAGGGCCTTTTTTTTGGCTACATATTATTTATATTATTATTTTTTGCTACATGCCTCCCCATCTTCTTGCCATATGTTTCTATGGCATAAATCAGTGTCTGTGACCTGTTTTCATTTTAAAAAAAGAACATTGGCACAAACCTAGCCTGTATGTATTTTTTGTATGTCATCGAGAGTATTTAAATGATTTTCAATCAGAAAAAAAATTTGCGATTAAAATGCGATTAATCGCGAGTTAACTCAGGCATTGATGCGATTAATCGCGATTTAAAAAAATTTATCGATTGACAGCACTAATAATTATATGTTTACTATTTGAACTTTAAGCAATAATAGGCTAAACTCTGTTTACATATCTCAAAATTTTGATTAAAATATAAAAAGTTACCACAGAAAATGTTTGAAGTTACCTGTTCAGATATGATGTTCCAGAACTGGCTATCTCCTCTTGACCTTGGGTCACGTAGAAGAACATTGGCTTATCCGGCTGTGGCCACTGGAAGTCAAAACCTTTCTTGATGCGATCAGCTGCAAAAAGAACAAGATTTGATTTCCTTAACCTTCCAATAGACAAGTGATAACAGACACACAAGAAAAAAAAGACACCTGATAAAACCAAACCATTTTGGCTTTACCTGCAGTAACGCCATTCTGCAGGGAGCCCTCATAGAAGATGTTGGAGGGGAAGGCACTCAGAGCTGGATGCATACGGTACTGGACCTGCAGGCGGATTGGCCGGATCCCCAGAACCACCAGTCGCTCAAACAGAGACTGAGACAGACCCGCCTTGGCTGCTTTCTTACACATCACAACAGGACCCAACTGGCAATGGTCACCCACGAGGATCAGCTAGAAAAGTAACGGGTCAGACAGCTGAGTCACTTCATCAAAGCATTAAGAAAACTCTTATTGTAAGGTATACATTGAGAATGTATACCTTACATTCTACCTTAATGAGGGGAAATGTAAAGATGCCATTGCAGCATTTATATGCTGCATGGCCATGATGATACCTGCTTGGCTCCCAGCACCACGGGCACCATACACTCAGGCTCTGTAGCCTGGGTGCTCTCATCAATCAGAATGGATCGGAACTGCATCTTGGCCAAACGGGGATCTCCAGCTCCAACGCAGGTGCAGCAGATCACATCAGCGTTCTAGGGACATGAAGCAGACTGTTAAAACATCTTTAGAAAAGCTTTATTTGATTCCAAAGTCTGCTGTGTTTTAATACTTTTTTGAGATTCTCACACCAGAAATAAAAATAACAAAAAAACAGATCACCCTAGGGAAAAACAGGCTGAAAGGACAAAAAGGAATAAAAACCACAGTATTTAAAAAGTGGAATATTATGTCACCAAATACATGCTTCAAAGAAGCATTTGATTTCTTTTGACATTCAATTTATTTATGACATAAAGCAGTTTTACTGCATTCTGTGAACTGTAGATTGGTGTGTGGGGAAATTCCTGGAAGAAATAACTCACATGAGTTACCTACACTGTTGACAAAACAGAGTTTCACTGAAAGTATCAAAGCCACGTCTTTTACTGTTTTATGGCTTAAGGGATGTCATAATCATATTTTTTATACAGTGAAAATTCTGAGCAGTTACCATAAGCAGCTCCCTCTCAGCGGTGCGCTTCAGAGCCCGATAGCGCTTCTCATCAGCAGATGACAGCTCTCCAGTCTCATCTTTCAGCTGCTGCAGCTTCTGAAGCTCCGGCATGCTAGAGATGAAGAAAAGCTAAAACCCATCAGTGTCTAAAAAAAAATAAAAGCTTCACACTTAAAGTTCATTGCTGTTCCTGATATAAAAGCCTTCATGTGATGGTTAGGGGAGGGTACCGAATTTCTGTGCTTTTTATGAGTATCAAAACATTGTCTTTCGGTGCAAAGTTTTAATGATGGGCTGTAACGTTAACGTGATTGCTTCACTCAGGAAAACTACCAGCCGACATATCTGTCTACCAACATTATAGATTCATATATGCCAATCGTCTTTATCATTTTTTGGAAAGGCCAAATCAACCACAAGCACATGAACAAACATAAAGCTGAGGATCTTTTTGTATGTGTCTGCCATTCCTTTCTGCCACTGACCTGTCCATGTTACTAATTTGGTTGTGGAGAGCCAGGAACGAGACTGGAGACTCTATAGCCTCTCGGCTCTTGGCGCACAACCTCACAACCTTCAGGCCGGTTTTGTCGATCTTTTCAGTCAGCTGATCCACAGCGATGTTGCTGGGAGCACACACCAGAACTGGCCTGTAGGATGAAATGAAGCAAGAAATGTAAAACTACTTCAGGGATTAATAAATGGGCGGAAGTATAAATAAAAGGGTGAATTGTCTGACCCATTGCCCTGGCGAGACAGGTGGTACACAATTGTGGCAGAGGTGACAGTCTTGCCGGTGCCCGGCGGCCCCTGGATGAGACTGAGTGGCCTCTGCAGCACTGTCTTTACTGCATAAACCTAAAGAGAGAGAGAGGGGGGTCATTTTTAATTAAAAACTGTGTAACTATACAAAAAATATAAATAAATAAAAATAAAATTAAAGCTGCAGCATTTGTCACATCTGGTCTGACTGTAGAAACAGGATTTGGAGGATAATCAGTGTTTGGTTCGGACCTGTGAGTGATTGAGGTCAGGCAGGCCTGGAGCAGTGAAGCGTTTCGGCAGCTGGCACTTAATGGTGACATCTTCAACCTCGTGGCCCAGAAGTTTGTGGTAAATGTAGCCAGACACGGAGGTTTCGTCAACAGCAAAGGTCTTCAGAGCGCTCTGCATCCTGACAACAACGAGCACATAAAACATATTAGGACATTCAGGAAAAGTTCCCGTTCAAAGTTCATTTATAGACTGTTTATAGAAAGATCAGGCTGTTTTAGGAAGATCCCTGTTGTACTGAAATACTATAGCGCTGTTTAAATCAGGTTTGTGCACAGCTTTAATCACAGACTGTTCTTTAGTGACCATTTATTAGAAAAAGATTGTGATGATAATGTAAAGTGGTAAAAACAAAGCTACAGAGAGAGTGCAGATATTTTGTTGTTTTGCAAGGACGCGAGGCTTTTCTGGACCGAGCCAATGTTTACATAGAGTGAAGAGTGGCTTTAAATCTGTATAATCTGCTAAGGCCTGTTATTATTGACTGATGTTAAAATTTAGAACTATAATTATAGATGGAAACCTGGCACTTTAAAGATATAGTGGAGCAGACACTGAGACCGTTGAGCAATATTTTGTGGCAGTACATATTTAGACATTGTAGAGCAGTGCTGTGAAATCACTGAAAGTGAGGTGGGTCATCTTCTATGTACACCAATTAGACCCTCAGCAGCATAAACTGATAGTGGGGTGAATATATTAGATGGCAATGGAAACTGCTCCTCCACATCTATTATGTCAATGATACATACTTAATATTTGCAAAGTGATTATTAGCTCTAAAACAAAGACCTTGTGCATGAAGACTTTTGCTTGATTTTGTTTAAGGTTCAATCGGCTAAAAGCAAAAAGTCACACACAAACGTCTGTCATTACAGGGATGGGTATTGTTAAGGATTTATTGACAATAAATTACCTTCACTTTAAATCCTGGACTGTAATCTAGTGCAGGATCAGAGATAGCTTTGCATGTTTGAGACTGAATGCCTGTTTGTGTGTTCAGTGGAATCACAGCAACACTCGCTGTTTGCAGAAGACCTTAGAGTGAGCAGTGCTTACTCGTTGTCACCATAGTCCCAAATAACACAAAATATTGTTAAGACTTCTTGCTAGAGGGCTCTGAAAAGTCGCCCAACAGTTGGCAACAGGGATGGATGCAAACCAGTACAACATGTCAACGCAGAATGCTACATCTCCCTTCAGTCCCTTTGCATGGTTGCTTCTTAAAGAGAAGATCTGCAATACAATGTTTGATTTGCAGCCTCCCCGGAAATGTAACCTTGCAACATCAATGATACACGAAAAACAAACAATAAGGATGAAGTGTATAGGTCTGCCAGGAATGTACGATGGGACCCAGGGGCATCTTTAATACCAGTTTTTGGAAATCTACTGTACATTGTTCTCATGTAATTGGGTTCACTAGAGCTTCAAACAAGTTATTGTCTGTTAACAATAGTTTCCAAATAGTCGTCATGAGGGTTTCTACACATCTCAAGTAAATATTATATCCTTCTTCAGACTCAACTATCCTGAGATCTCAGCTATTTATTATTTATTTAAGATGCTGCAACAAAGAAATCATGACAGGACACCAAAAAGTATAAAGAAATTAATAGAGAATAAAAAGCAAATAACAATAAAAATTTATTTAAAAAAAGAATAATAAAAAGCAAAAAATAGAAAAATATTTTGGAATAAAGCCAAATATTTCGATACAAATAATTTTCTGGATAGTAATATTTTTCTTTACCCATTATTAATAAAGACTGAAATCAAGAGACTTTTCCAAGGTGAAATCAACTTTTCATTATTCAATTTATGAATTAAACTTTAAAATATCAGCACAAACCTGTCAAAGGAAGTTGACTTCCAGACAAAGTCCACCTGGAAATTATGTGGAATTTCCACAGGCGCTCCGACGCTGCTGCGCAGCTCAATGGCAATCTCATCTCCATAGTCTTTAAAAAAAGTTGTTAAGGAAAAGCAGATGCTATCTTCAACCAGTTTTAAACATTTACTTGTGTTGAGGAAGGAGTATAAGATGTGCAACTGTAAAAAATATAAAGGATACTGTCTGGGACTTTGATGACATGACCAATGCCCTTCCACAGAGGAGCCAAGTCTCCTTTGTACCGCAGGCAGATCTCATCACCCTGCATCAGCCGCATATCTGGGATTGACCAAAAACAACCAAATAAGTTCCTAAACTGTTTATGCTGTTAAGTAATAATAATAAAAAATAAAAAAAGTCAACCATGTCTGAAAATGTAAGACAGCAAACTGGTAAAAAAACAAAAAAAAACAAATGTAGGGATGCCACCAAAAAATGCAGGAAGGAGGGAGGCAGCATGCAACTCTCATGATTGAGGGGAGGTAGGTAGGGGCTACATCGACACCACAGAACCACTGGGAGGAAATAACATTGAAAGCATTACCACCTGAGTCCGTCTTGGGAAGGGTGAAATATGCAATCCGCTTTTTGTTTAACCCCAGGTCCCACCTGACGGTTATATTGTCTTGAGTCTAGAAGAGAAAAAGAACTTAAAATCAGCACAATTATGTTTTAAATGTTTGAAAAGACAATTACTATCAGGTATGTTTTTTTATGAAACATTTATTTATAAATTACATACATTTATTTACTAAGATCCAAACTTTCATTTTCAAAAACTACATTTTACCTAACTCAGCCATAAAAGGTAACTGTCAAAATACTCTGGAAAGTTGACTAATTTTAATCATATGGATTGTCTCTTCAATAAACAGCTAAAAAACAAACAAAGAAAAAAAAAAAAACAGCATAATGTTGTATTCGCACTGAACATGTTTTGAGCATCAAAAAACACTCAATGAGTAAATCATGGACGCTTGTGCACACTGCAGTTTTCAGAAGCATCTGACATGTGTTTTAGGTCTCTTATGTACAATGGCAGATGCAATGGGTAGAAAACCTTTGCTTTCTTTGCTGCAATAAGTGAGAAAATTGTAGTTCAAGATGTTTCAAGCAAGCATGTAGACTTTATAACATCCCCCATGAGGTCAGTTTATCAAGACAATTTTTCTACTTTTAAATACTTCTTCATTGTTTGGAGCAGCAGACCCCTGCATACCAGCGGATAGTAGTACTGGGAATCCCTGGTGACGGCTCCCTCAAGCGAGGCCATCACTCTAGGGCAAAAACTGCAACTGTACTATACTATACTATAGAACATAATTAAGCGAAGTGAGCAGAGCACTCTCCCTTTTCCTTGTAGATAATTAAAATAAAACATTTTTGGTGCTTTCATGCTGATGGCTTTGCAGGAAGAGAGATCACGGCTTGGATGCAGTGCCCGAATCCTAGATCAGCTTCTCTGATTGGTTGACCCACTGTATTAAGTTGCAAAAATTCCAAATTTTCAATCCCAGGATCTGGAGCTAGGAAAGCATCAATGCTTGTAAGCTTAACACGTACCGAGTCCTATGCTTGAAACATTTCAACAAAGTGCACCACACAAGGAAAAGGAAGCCAAGACACACGTCTATGACAGACTCTGCAAGTAAACTGGACGGCCCTGATGCTCAAAACACGCTTTTTCTTAATGCTAATAAAACCAATGATGATGATGAGAATTTGAGTGTTTTGTGAAAATACTACAGAATACATTAAAGTACAAGACTTCTTGTCTCTGTTGGACCCAATATAATGTAATCTATAAGCTCTGTGGATAAATATGAGTTTCAGCATTTATGAAAATGACTACACCTTAATAAAAATCCTTGGTTTAATCTTTTTTCACTGTAGATTTTTGGTCTTCACTACATTGATTAAAACCAGACAAGAAAGGTTACTGCTTGATATTAACAAGCATTACTTTTTTTTATGCTCTACTAAATATATTTATCCAAGTAATTTATTTGAATATTGTAATTATTTTTAGTAGTCCAACCAATTAGGCCTACAGTGGCTTTTTTTCCAGATTAAATTTTCCAGATAATTTTTTTCCCATCATCATTGACTCTTTTTTTGTTGTTTGTTTTTTTTAAACTTGGTTTGAGAAGATCAAGGGAAAATTATTCAGTTTCAGTAAACAACTAATTGTTGCTGTCCTATCGATAATGTCTTAAGGCCACAAAACTTTTAATATTAGCTGGAAGTTAAGAAAATATGAATCCAGAAGGTAGTAAGGCTATGTTTTGGAGAAAAAAAAAGAAGAAAAAAACTCAGAATTCCACATGCAGTTGACAAAATGACAAACACTTATGTCACCTGTGACTCCTTGAGTTTTTTGTCATAGTCAGCCTCGAGTTTGACCAAAGGGCCAAAGATGTTTTGGTACTGGTAAGCGTCTTCATAGCGTAACAGCACATGCTGAGGCTCTTCATCCACTCCAGGTTTCTCCAGGTCTTCCAAGGTAGCACCAGGATTGTCCTAAAAATTTAAAGCAGACCAATTAATATTTTTTTCCCCTCATGGTTTCTTTTCAAACTAGGAAGATGGCATGTTTTGCCTCTAGCTACAGGATGCTTTAAATACTCATCTCCCCACTGAGAAGCAATCTGACTAACCTTCCAGAGTTCCTCCAGCTTATTGATCTGCTGGGCAGTGATCTGACGGGCTCGGAGCTGCTCCTGCTCTGACGGGATCTTCACCAGCCATGAAAGAAAACAGCGGTCCTGGATCAGTGGCTGCCACTGTGAGCTGTCCCAGTTGATGTCTTTCAGGCTGCTCTGGCTTGCACAAGGCTGCCTACATTGAAACAATAATATGACCAAGAAAATATATTGTTAAAATATTTTTTTCAAACATTTAAAGCATAATCCATTAAATTAAATGAACAATTTTGCAGATATTTTCTAATCCTTTGGCAACACAAACTTACTGGTCTCCATCAACCCAGCACCTGTTAAGGACTGCTTACCCTGCAGCTGAGGCAGGTGGCTAGGAGGCCGCATCCCTCAATTATGTGTAGACAGCACACTGGTCTGTAATCTGAAGGCTCCAACTAATCTTTGATCTATCTTCAATTAATAGTTTTCTAACAACCTAATTCATTTAAAAAGTTCTCTTTAATTTTTTTTATTACTTCTCAGATTTATTATGGGTTTCACACTGTGCTTCATTACTAGCTCCCTTTTCTTTGACATGAATCAATCCTGGCCATTTATACCCCAAATAAAATAATAAATAAACAATAATAATAATAAAATAAAAGCCCTCAACAATGTCTTATTGCAAAAGACAGCTTCCATTTGGCTTTTGGTGTTAGTTTCCAGCCTTATTTTTTTTTTTTTTAGTATTCTTTACCATGGCAGATGATCAAGTATTGGACATGAATATTTTGGCTCAAATCAAATCTAGTTTTGGGAGCATCCAGGAAGCTTTTTGAATTGAAAAGAATTCCTGGATGGGAGGTGAAACATCTTCAAACTTGGAAGCAAAGTCCAGTGGATTGTTTTTAATTATTGGAATTTCATAAATATGTTTAAACTGATCACCCATTATGAAACAAGTTGCTTGTTAAAACTACATTTTACCAGTTGGCCAGAAACACAGAATCTGTGAAAAACTATTTACAGGCCTGTAAAATTAATTAAAAAATCAAAGTCCTACAGTAGATTTCTTTTCGATCTTCAAAGTCAGATTCTCAGATGTAGTTTGTAGGAGTTTAATTTCACCGAAAGTAGGGAATTTTGCTAAAGTGATGCCACAGCAGCTAGTCGGTGGGTGGTTTCTCTTACCTGCAAAGAAGCACCACCACAGAGTCCGCTTTAGCTGGGATGAAGCCAAGCAGGAAGACGTTGCGACAGCCACAGTTGTAGCACTCCAGCACAGTCTCCCCCAGAGGCCCATCTTTGTGGAGGGTCACTTCTTTACATTTGGCCCTCACCATGTGGTTCACAATGTGGCTGGAGGGGACATTTTTTACAGTAAAAGAACAGATACAATTAGAAACTATGCCAAAATCTTTTTTACAAATGTATCAATTATTGTTTGTCCACTTTAAACTGTGAAATAGCTAAAATTTAAGTTTAAAACACCCTTGAATTTTAAACCACATTAAGGAGGTCTCCACTTGTAAAGAAAAGGAGAAAATGTGCAGCCTCAATCCTATTTATTATATACAGCTAACATCATCTGACAATCAGAATTACCCAACAGCCAGATCGCTATAAGGCAAATGTTTCCAAAGTTCCAAACATTAATATGTCGATGATATTGCAGTACACTAGATTATCAGAGGAATATGAGACCACAAACCTGCCAGAAGTGTTACCACGGCCGTTACAGAACCACTTCTTGCTAGTGTTGCAGTACACCACACAAGCTGGGTCATGGATACCACAGTAGCTGCAATACAACAGGAGGGGAGATAAGCATAGAATATTGTAAGAACAAAATATTATAGACAAGGACATTTCTTTACAGGTTTGCAGGAACAGGCAGGACTGAGTTCTTTCTATCAATCAATACTCGCAAAAGAACATTAAAAAGGGTTTCCTGATTGAAATTAATAGTTTAGACTTTTCCTGGCCAAGACCAACCTTTGAGGGTTTTTTTTTTTATTGTTTAAAAAAAAAAAAAAAACAGGCAACAGGTCAGAGATGTGTTTTGTACTTAAACACAGAAATCTATATGTTCATCATTATAGAGCTATTTTCTTTAGATTGCATTATATTGTATAATGTATTTTAAAATAAATTGAATAAAAAATACAATATATGTTATTTTAAAATGTAAGCACGGACTCATCTCACAAAACTGCTTACAACTTGGTTGTATAATTCATGTCTGATCTGCCTGTCTTTATTAAAACTCAACCGCAACCTCTTTTAGATCCCTGATCCATTATAAACCCATATATAAAATGTATACACACACATACACACACACACACACACACACACAAATAGTTTGCAGTTTAATTTTTCTTACTGTGTAACGTAATAGGAAAATAAAAGTTCTGTTCTCGGAATACAACAAGGCATTTTCAAGGCCACAAAGAAACATTTTCATAAACATTGCTTGAAATAAGACGATGTAAAACACAATGTTTTGTCCAGTGACACTGGGATATGTTTTTTTTAAGCTAAATCAAAAGAAATGACTGATCAGTCCAAGTGCTCTTCTATGATATTTTCATACTTCTAACTAACAGGAAATACTCCCAGGTGAGCGCACTTTTAAGATGTCTGTCAGGGATTTCCCCATGTCTGTCTCCTTGTCTTGATAACCACTCAGGCAGCACATAATGTACTCGGTATCCAAAACAAGATAAAAGCTTTTGGATGCTTTTTAATCAACAGTTTATCTGCATCGGTTTCTACTACAACTGTCTATAGACAGACAGTGGAAGATCAGCCACTGTCTCTGCAACTGTGCTGCTGCCGCCTTCTCTATGAATCAAATTACTTTCAAACACTGTCTTACCTCTACAGCAAAGTAAAGCTCTTACATGCTGGGTACTACCGTCCAAGTTTGAAACAGTAGCAATAATATATGATAATGGATGAAGTTAAACAATACATTCCACTTGTAATAAATACAAAGGAACATGTGAAGATCAAAGATTGATTGAAGTCGCTAGTCTGTTTTGTTAAACAACAAAATTTTCATCAAAATATGCAACCAAAAACATTATGTTTCAAACAATAAGCTTACTTAAGTAACGTGCATAGAAAGAGAACATACCAGAAAAAAAGAACATATTTAGAAAGAACAAATACATCCCAGCTTGGATCTATTTTTTTTTTGTGTGTCAGCTACCTGCATGCGTGTATTGGAAGATCTTTGGTGTAGTAGGTGTCTTCTTCATCCTCCTCAAAGTTGAGCTCCCCCAACAATTGACTGGATTTGGCAACAGAGTCATCCATTCCTCCATTGTGAAGACCCTCATCAGGACCATTTATCTGCAAAATACGCAGGAATTAACAAAATACGTATAGGTTTGATCTCATATCTGCGCCTTTATTTAGTTATTTTTTTTCATCTAATAGTTTTTTTTGCCAGCAGTGCATTTATTGTCGTTCAAACATATTTTCCTGAACTCTTCTAAAGCATGTTTACATGTACATAAGTCAATTTTACTCCAAACAAGCTTATCTTTTACTTTTGGATACAATTTAAGTCGTACACCTGTGGAAGGTACGAGCATTATCAAACACACTCAGCGCTAACAGATCAGCTAGCGGCTGAGGAAGGCGCACGATGAGGATGTGAACACGTTGACAGATTGTCAGCGATGGAAGTAGCGTCATCCTATACAACTGAAAAATTATATACGTTATCGAGATTGATTTAGGTAGTAACGGATAGAGATAAGACAAGTCGACCAACTTGAAGTATGTAGCCAACGGTCTTTGCTAACGTTAGCTTATGCTAAGCTAAGGAGGCTAGTATTTTAATAATAGCAGGCTAGCAGCAGCTAGCTAACGCCAGCACCGCGCCTTATGGTTAAAAATGAAAGCTTCAAACCTGTCCGTCCAACTGGCTCTGGGTTTGGCCTTGCGTTTGCGTCTGGCTTGGAAGGGTGAAGTCAGTGAAGTCGAACTCGGAGCCCTGAGTGTCCGCTCCGAGCAGCTCCGCTTCTTCGGTGTCCAGGAAGGTGAGGGTCTGGGAGCTCGGCCCGTACGCCTCCACACTCATTTTCGACCCTTAACTTTCGTTTTAGTCCGAGGTTTCCGGTGCTTGTATTGAACAACTAAATAATGAGCGCTTATAATATGTTATGTATATTTCAGGAAGCGTCACCAAGAGCCTATATTTGAACCGATCAGAACCGCGGTAGCTTTAGCACGACAGCAACGGTGACGGACTTCCCTGCGCCGCGCGACGTATGACGAAACTAGGAGATAGCAAGGAGGGAACACAGATAGGTTAGTGAAAGAGCACTCACTCTGTGAAAAATTGTTTCGAATGAACAATAAAGCATAGAAACATGCGCAAAACATAAATTATCAAGTGATAAGTGCGTATTCCCCATCATTTGATAATACTTACTATTTCCGAGGGTTTGTACATCAAAAGTGTAACTAGAGTTATATCTCTGAGGCTGAAGATTCCTAGGCTTCCATGAAGAAATGCAGGTTTAACCACATTTTTTACTTTCAATATGGATTGGTTGCTGCTAAGACAGTAAAACATTAAAAACGAGTTATTTCTCAGTATAAATTTAGCTGTAAATTAGAGATCAAAAATAGTTTATTTACTTATAGAGCAATAGACTGTTAAGACCAAAGCAATATTTATGTCAGAATGGTCCAGTCAAAGTCCAAAAATAAATCTATGCTGTATTTCAAAACTGATATTCAGACCTCTGTCCACTCTCTGTGAATTTGAATAATTTTAGAAGCAAATTCTCCAGGTTCTATATGAGCAAATTTCAAATTTGTGTTTGTAACTTGACAAAATATTCAAAGGTTTGAATGGTGTGAATACTTTTACTCAAATGTATAAATGCTCTCAGGAATCATAACAAATAAGCTGCAAGAAAAAACTGCAGAAATATTTTTTATGTAATCTTTTAATTCCTTTATTTTAAAGCCTTTCTTTTACAAGGTGAGATTGAAGACTGTAACAGTGCATAATGACAGACATTTCAGAGGACAGTCACTCAAAGCAAAAGAGCAATATTATAGGTATGTAACTAAACACACTAGGAGATACAAAAAAAAAGTATTTGTGAGGTAGACATACGTCTGTACAGACAGCATCAAAAATACATCTTGGATATGAACCATGGAGAATTAGTAAGGCCTTTTTCAGAACATCAATAGCAACAAGGCACAGGAGAGTCAGGGATCACCTCGAAGGTTAGGCAGAATTTCTTCAGACAGCTTCTCCACGACCCTCACAAATCCAGACAATGAACTTACAAACTCAACTGCAAAGATTTTTAAACAACATAACAATGGCAGGCTCAATTTGATGGGTTACAGGAACATTAACTTAATTCATTATCCTTTTTTGTGACCACCAATCTTCCTTTAAGTCAAAAATAAGCTGACCTGTAAAAATTTATAATTTACAAAAAATTGTTTAATCTAATCTGTACAAAATTAATGCAGTTAGGAGCTGGGTCCTTGCAGCTTGAATTAAAATGTCTGGTCTACACAGTAAAACCAAGCCTAAGACAGTATAAAGGAAATCCCGTTTGCGAAATAAATCAGAACAAAAGCTCTAAAGTTCCAGGAAAAAAATAAAACTCACCAAAAGTTACACAAATCTCACATCATCACATTTGTTTGAAAAAGAAAAAAAAAGAAAAACTAGTTAAAATAGTTGTGGAAAGCTACATGATTCCTTTTAAAGTGACAGGAAAATAGAAGTATACAACCCCTCAATGTTTGACAAATGCCACTTCAGAACAGAGAAAAGAAATGTACAAAATCAGAAAGTGCAACAGAAATAAAAAAGGCCCAGTTCAGACTGAAAACTCTGCATTTAACCTCAGTAAATCAGTTTCTCTCTTAAAATCGGTAACAACAATATTTCTGACTTACTGAGGAGGACATCAGAAAATTTGGAGCAAAACTAATGGCTGCACTACTATGAGAAAAAAAAACATTTGACTTAATTTATTTTCTCTAAACAGATTAAGATTTTTTTTGGTGAATTCAGTTTACATCCATAAGCATCTTTGCACAGTTTAATTGAAACAAATTACCTGATCATACAGCATCCTTGAGTAATTTGATTATTCCATAATACAGATCTAAAACCACCTCACTTTCCTGCATACAAATGTAATTAAAAGGGTTTTGATTCTTTAATACAGCCAGATGCAGGGGAGTGTTCAATTTCTTGCTTTTTTGTCATGCCTAAATGTTTCAGAATATCAAATGAATTGTATTATTGTAGAGATAGATCAAGAATAAATGCTGTTTTTTTTTCATGGGTTTTGTAGTACTAATGCATTAAACCCTTTATTAGCTGATCAGGAAGAGTTGAAGCGAGGAGGGAAGGATACAGAAAAAAAATGTAACCCATTAATGACCGTAGCATCTGCATTCGGTTTGCCTGCTCTACCACTAACCTATGTGCCACCCAAACCCTTTATAAGATTATCTAATTTTTAAAACGAAAAAGATTTCCAAAAAAACCTGGACCTAAGTAAAAAAGTATCTTCCACTCACTTTACACAGGGTAGCTTGTTTTTACTAATAATGAAACGATACTTCCAATTTTCTTTTCATTACTTAGATTATCTCTAATTAAAGTTAATTTGATAATCTGAAACTCTGAAGGGGAACAAAAAAGCAGGAATTTGTAAAGGTATAGTGGAGGAGTTTCTTTTTCATAATCAAAATAAGTATTCCTCCTAATTGTCCACCGTTCTGGTGATATGCTCTGTTGATGTGCTCGTCCCCATTTTCCCTTATTTTCCATAATTTTTGACATAGTGGAAAAATTGTAAATCTTTTTTTTTTTGTTTGTTTAAAAGTTGCAAACAGCAACTTTTAAACAGTGTGCACAAGGAGAAATGGGTTTAAGAGGGTGGGTCTTTTCAAAAATTCACAAAAATCCTCCACTACACCTTTAAGAGAGCAAGTACTTTCCCCCAGAACCTTATCCGTTTATTACACCTTAAGATAAACCCTTTTGTTTTAATCTGTCAGGAAATATAAAAGCTTTAATATTTTCTCAACAGCTGTGCAGCCATACAAAGAAAAAAGAAAAAAATCATCAGGATAAAACTTTCAGGCAGATTCCACTGAGCGAGATCTGTAAAATTACATTGCACAGCCCAAGGCCAGATCTCAGTGGGGTAGAATTATTTACTTATTTTTTCGGTCAGAACTGGGCCAACAAACTGGGGAAGTCTGAGCTGGAACCAACCCGTTCCCTGATTTAAATAACCTTTGTAAAGGAAGGTAAATTCACAACTTCTTATAAAGAAAACTGACCCAGAAACAATTAAACATCAAAAAGGAAAGACTGACGAGTTTAGAGTCAAAGGAGTGAAGGAAGAAGAAGCTTACAGCTAAACATTTCTACTTAAACCATATATTATGTACATGAACGTCTAATCATTTAGGTGTAAACACCTGCTACCTTCAACATACTGGGATGAAGCAACGTGGAAACGTAAAGAAGTTCTGATGCTACATTTTCCCTAATGTGCCTTCTATAGTCATCACAGTAACCCTAACCCTATAAGGTGCATTAATAGAAGTCACATTTGGGTGTTTAGATCGCTTTTAACGTCACGGTGGAGACTCTTTACATGTAATTCCTTAGTGGATATTTTTCATATTGATAAAACTTCCGAAACCAGGAAGTTTAACAGGATAAAAGATAAATGTGACCAAAAATTGCTTTCAGTCTGCAACTCTAACGGAAGAAGATCTATGAAATTCAGAATCACACAACCTAATCATAAAAAAACATTTAAATGCTACAAAAAAGCCATGTCTCAGAAGTTCAATATGTCCAAGAAAAAAAAAGAAAAAACAATAAAGAGAAGTTTTGGCTACTTGTGGTCAAGTGCAATTTGTCTTGTGTGGCAGGGGCTGGAGAGGCTGGTCTGATGTCACTTAGTGAATGTGCTGCTGGCAGTGAATCTTCTCCTCAGCCTGGTCCAGGAGCTCCAGCATCTCCCTGATGATGGCCTGCAGCGCACGGGCCAGTTCCTCCCCGCTGTAAGGCTTTCCGAGAGGAGGCACGTGAATGAAGGCAGAGCGACCGTGGCTCAGGTACAGAGATGTGTAGTAGGTGAAGTCACAGAGATATCTGCATAAAACAGCATAAATATAGGGATTTAATCCAGCAAACCAGAACAAAAACAACTGGAAGGCTGAACACACTTTAAATGTTACAATAATTATTTAAAATATACAACTGGATCAGATTTTACGTTTCTCACAGAACATGAGTAACATAATTTAAAGCAGTATGAAACACTTTCCTTTCAAAGAGCTAGACTCCTTTCTATCTTGAATTGACCTTGATCCCTCATTCTTTAGGCCTTTAAATGTTTTATCAAATCTCTGGACTCTGGCAACCTTATACTATTTGACCATGAAAGCATCAGACCCAATTAATGTCCAAAGTCATTAGATAAAGCTTTAGGCAATAAAGAGCATCTTCATCCAACATAAAGTTTCATAAAGCCTGCTTAAAGAGAAAAAATAGAATAAATTAAATAGTTTTGCTCATTTTTAGTTATTTAGTTAAAGTTAAGACTTGATAAAATAAAAAGTCATAAAAATGATGCCACGGTATGAGAGATGGATGGTTTATACTTCTGCCCAATCCTTTAAAATGACTAAATAATGTATCTGACTATGATATGTATCACAATATGTTTTTAGATACAATTTATCTTGATACAGTAACAAAGGCAATATGTTGCTATTTTTATCATATAATTTAGGGCTGAAACAATTTACTGGATTAATCATTGTTAATCGATTACTCAAATAACTGTCAACTAATTTAGTAATCAATTAATCAATAACTGGAGAATAGAGACTCTAAAACATGCCTCTAGCTGATAGAGGAACACACCTTGAGCAGAAATTATACTACAATTATATAAAAATTTGCAAACATTCAGCATTTTAGATGAAAATATTTTTCATCTGTCAGTATGCTCTATCTAGAACTCAAGTGGAAAGGTTTTTGTTTCTCTTGGTATTTCGTACAAAATCTTCTTTAAGAAATCTTTAGCTATCGGATTATTAATCGATTAATTATAAAAAAAAAAAAAAGACAGATTAATCGATTTGCAAAAGAACAGTTAGTTGCAGCCCTAATATAATCCTAGAAAACTGCGCCAGACCTCTGTGTTACTCTGCTGCAGACGAGGAGGAGTAGCTGAATAATGGGCTGTGGACTGCAAACTGGCAGCAGAGAAAAAATGCACTTATTTTAAGATCAAATTACTTTATTTAGATTTACATTTTTTCCAGTGAATTTAAGTGTTATATGAAAGTAAGACAATCAGATGTATGTTTGCTTATACATATATTAATTAATTAGATTAGATAGATTAGATTCAACTTTATTGTGATTACACAGGTACAGGTACAAGGCAACGAAATGCAGTTTAGGTCTAACCAGAAGTGCAATAGCAGCAAGTGCAGGATAAATAATGGTTCTATAAATACAGGTCATGGGTTTCTACTGAAAACGTATAGAGATGAATACCATTATAAACAGAATTTTACTAATAGATTTGTCCTATGAATATAATATATAGATAACTAGTGTTATGAGCTAAATTTACAGCTGGATATGTACCGAATATAATTGAAGGTGGATATTACTATAAAAAGGGTTTTTACAGTTATGTACAATAGCATAATATACAGATGGCTTTTACTTTAAAATGAATAAATAAAGTTTGGACAGAAGCTATCTAAATTAAAGTGCAGTGGAAGGTAATTGCATATTACAGTTAAAGTACGGTATTGCAAATGTATATGTAAACAATTGGTACTGTGAAAAAGTAGTCGGCAGTGCAAATTAATATTCAGTCAAGGTGAGTAGTGCAAGATGCATGTAAAAAGTTGTCACAATAGTAACAGTCAGGAGTGTAGGTGAACATTACAGTCTTGTAAAAAAAAGAATAGCAAAATGCAGGTAGGTGTGAGGAGGGAGAGCAGAGTCTATCAGTGAGGGTCAGAGTTCAGTAAAGAGAAAGCTCTGGGGAAAAAGCTGTTCTTTTGTCTGCTGTTTCTGGTCCGGAGGCACCTGAAACGCCTGCCAGAGGGCAGGAGAGTTTCTTCTTACATCCTAATATTACTATTTGATGTTATACTTCTTCAGATTTTGAATTAATATTAAGGCAAATAAAAACATTCAAATAATGGAAAGTTTTCCAACTCCAGATGCAGCTAAATCCTGGTCTTTGCATTTAAACATCAGGTCCAATATGGATTCCAAAGGAGATTCAATTCAATTCAAAACTACTTGATCCCAAAGAATTATGGTTATAAGATAATACAATTTGTTTATGGTGGATTTGTGCAAAAGCAGGAGATGGGAACTTATTCATAACTTCATAGAAATGTTTAAAAGTATTGCAGCCATAAATACATACAACCTGGCAGGTACTGGGAATGCTTTTCAGACTTTTTAATCCACATGTTCATACAGTTTGAATGTGTTACACATAGGCTTGTATAATCCCCGCCATTGGTTTTCAAATGCAATATGAATAAGGCATTGCATTATGACCATCTGGCTAAACTTCAAATATTAATTGATTAATTGGATAATTGGCAAATAAGTTTTTCAGAATTCAATATGGATTCAGAGCACCCTCTGAAAGGATTCACCGTTTTTGATTTAAAACTTTGTGTGATTTACATCTTACTGAAGGAATGCAACGTAAATCATGTAGATAACTTTACTGCTATGTTGATACAGTCGCGGATGGGCATATGGGACTATCAGGAATATTCCCTGGTGGGCCAGAAGTTTAGGACATGAAGTCCTGTCGCCATTGACCTTGTAATCACGCTGTTGTTCTGTAGCCCCACAGTTCAAAGAAATTATCTTTGTATCCTGCTCTCCAGCTAGGCTTAACTGCTCAGGGTGTGACCGCCGGGGGGACCTCTACATGAGCGACTACCAGCAGGCATTGAGCTGCTGAGATCCAAATGTTTGCCCTAAACCCCCTAGCAGTGGCGGCCGGCCCATAGGGGGCGCTGGGGCACCGCCCTCCCTGATAAGAAGAGAGAAACGTAAAATATATTTTTAGAAATTAACCCATAAATGTCAGTTTTACTCTCTAGACTGTGTACCTATAAGCAAAACAAATTATATAAACTACATTTCCCTATCTACTGTCATTAATTTGTGGATTTCCACAGACAGACTCCTACCGTCTCTGTTCTGGGGGCTGTGATCAGACAGCCCCACATTTGCAGAGAATCTGTCAATCATGTACTTTTGCTAGGTGAATTTAATGGCCAATCAGCGTCTCGGAACTTTATGGTATTGGGGCGCTGAAAATACTGCGCTTTAACAGGCTTCTGAACCCAAGCGCAGGTGCAGACAATGAGAGGGACGATGGCGAATGTAACGAACGAGATGCAGCTTCCACCAAATTCGGTGAGATCCTTATTTATCTACCCGTTTGCCAGAAGAACATCCCTGTTGTAGGATATGAACATTTCATGTCATGGTTATTGTGACTGTGACAAATCCACCTCGTCGCTTAAAACAACCTCTCTAACTTTGCGCGCCACACACACATTCCTGTTATACTGTGTTTGTGAGGACCAATACACTCGCGCTGAGACCAGTAGCTCCATGAACTTAAAACAAACAAGCTGTTCCTGGTTACCTGCTGGCGTATTGAGGGTGCAAACTTAATATTTCAGTGGGGTTAGCCGTGTGTGTGTGTGGTATGTGGGGGGTGTGGGTGTGTGTGTGTGTGTGGTGGGTGTGGGTGTGTACGTGTTTATGCTATGGGGACTTGTCATCTTCAGTCTGGCTGCATCTTTGCTGGGTTCAAACCCAGTTTGGTGTAATTGAATAAGTCAATGAATCTGTGTAAAAGAATTAAGTTGTAAAAATTATTTGTTTTTGTACATCAATTGTTTGTGGAGGTAATATATGGACAAAACTGATTAATGAGAAGAAATCAGAAATAAGAGAGCCTGAGGTGAGGGGCTTAAACTGTGGGAAGAAAAGCGGCAATTTTTGTTTTCTGTTTCTTTGTTACATTACTGGTAACTGGTGGGAGGCTGAGGCCCAGAGTATCTTGTATATGTTTAGTTTCTTTTGCACCCTGTTTTGATTTTTTGAGCTCAATAAATCACCAACACCGGTAACCCGACTGAGCCTGGATTCTTGGAGGCCAAAGAACCCCGTCACAGTGACCCAAATCATCACTGTTACTGTTATTATATAGTAAATTAAATCATTACTGTTAAATTGTATGTATTGTCCAATTGTTTAATCGAATTCTTATTCCGGATTAGTTGGAGACATACACTAGGCTATATCAGCCCCACCAAATATATTTTTCACCAGCCGCCACTGCCCCCTAGCATATGGAAAGAAAAACAAACGCTGTGGTTCTCATAACTCAAGAAGACCAGCAGTGCTGTGACTTCAGCTGATGATAATATTCATCAGCCAAACATTACTTATGCTATAAATATTCAACAAAACGTCAACCCAGCAGATGAAATTGGGTAAATCTGTCAGAAACTCTTTTCTCCCCAATTCAGGCGAGAGTAAATATGTGCATCACCGGTGTTAGTTTGCTAGTGCTTTTGTATTTACAGATTTTAGGAAAGCAGTACAATTTAGATCTATACACACTTTACTTTAATTCCAATACAGTAATCGAATGGTTCTGCTATTGTCCTCCGTAATGATATAGGTCTACCATGGTCGTTTATATGAAAGAAAAAAATCAGTACATTTCTGAGATGCATCATTAGTTAATAAAAAAAAAAAAAAAAAAAAAAAAACCTACACAAAATTACAAAATCCTATTGAAACATTTAAATCAATGCTGAAACTAATTGTGGCCCAAAAATTCAAAATTAAATCAAATTGTAAAGTGCCTAACAATATTCAAAGCTATTCATGATACCCATTGGTAGTAATATTGTAATGCCTGATTAATTAACTAACCTACTATTAGCCTATCTTAAACTGCAACATGTTTTCCCTTTAATTTCAGATTAGGATTAGAGAATTTATTGTATTAGCAATTTTGAAAATGGCAATTTCCAACTCACAGGGGCACCAGACTTGTTTGCTAATTGCACTCTACAATCAATAGCCCCATTTCCACCACCGTCTGAAAACCGATCCATGCTGAGTTCAGACCAAGCTTGGATCAGGGAACTGTACCGAGCTCAGTTCCTTAAGACTGTTTACACATCACACTGGCACAGTTCCTCGCCTCCTAGTGACAATCTACGGTACTACTGCTCTCTAGTGGGAAACAAGCAAATCAACATGGCGGCGCCCGTAACATTCAGGGAGTTTGGTTGTAATTGTGATATTTTGTTGCCTGTGGAGAGCCAGGCAAAGAAGACAGCTTTTGGTGAACTTACTTGATATTTTACTTAGCTATATTTGCTGTTATAAGTGGGTAAAAAGTAGTTTTAATATGTTTTTAAGTGAGAAAGTCCACCTAAAAAATTTTATTTGTGCAGTTAGTTCATTAAGATTACGATCCTTCAAATAATATTTCGCTGTCAGAGCAGCTCAGACCCCCGTACACCCGCGGTGCGCCGTCAATGGCAGCCTTTGGCCCGGTGTAGGTACCAGATTGACTCGGGGGCCTGCGCCTTTTGAGATGCGTCAGAGCGTCCGCCATCTTAAATGTGGCAAATCTGCAGTTTCTCAGTCACTTAAACAGTATCAGAGGGACTTTAATCTCTGAATATACTTTGTATTCGTAGTATTTTTGGTTTTGTAATATTACAAGTTTATTTTTTGTATCCCTTTAGCTTCATTCTCCTGAATTTATTGTCGTTACAAATGCAGACCGCGGGCTCAATGTAGTTTGTTTGAGTGGCGTTGCCATAATGTCATGTCATCGGGAGGCGCAAGGCCCATGGCGAATTCGGTGACGTCATCGGAAGGCGCAGGGACCATGGAGAATTTCTTCGTAAAATTGTCCGTTTACAAACCGCAATCCCGCTTTCGAATAAAACCTACACCCCGCTATAATTACTTTAGTAAGCTGTCCAGACCAATCAAAATGTTTTGCGCAATTGTGCAAACGTTAAAACAATTATGTATTGTGACGTCATCAAAAGGCGCAGGCCCCCGAGTCAATCTGGCAGCCCGAGTCAATCTGGTACCTACACCGGTCGCCTCTTGGGGAATTTCCGCTACTGTTGGAGGCAGCCTGAAGGTGTTTTTCATGTACGTAATCCAAACTGCAGGCACCAGAATAATAAAAGCGGACATATTTTTCCGGCAGGTTTCGACATTTTAAGTTAATTTAGGCATTGATAAATTGTTTCAGGGGAGTGATCCTAGCTATCTGCATTAGCAGCACTGTCTGTCTCCCTGCCAGCTCCCAGATCAGCTTCTCTGGTTGGTTGATGTGACGAATCGAGCAGCAGAAGTTAATGATGCTTGTGACACACGTCCTGCACGTCAGATGCTCGGAAGCTCATGAGCCGCTTATTCAGGTGCTCAGACCCATCAAGATGCACTTCTCCTGCTGCTCAAAATGCATCGCAGGACCTTTTGCGTCAACCATTAGCTTGGATGTAAACTAGCTGCTTCTGCTGCCTCTACAGTTTCAAAAGGGTAGAGTAAATGGGGCTAATGTTTAACAAGAAATGATATCCAGCTCAACAAGCTAGTCATTTTAATAAAAAAGTGAAGATTAACAGTGAAAAAATTTCTTGCTTTAATTAGACTTTTTTTCTGCAAACACATATATCTATAGAGTATATTTGTTGCTTATCCCTGAGAAGAATAGTAAGAAAATCCCAATTGCAATTTTTGTAAAGAAAAATAAATAAACAAGTAATTCACAGCCGTACTTCAGATGTCCTCAGCCATATTAAATCTAGTCAGTTTACCAAAAACTAGTTTGTGAAGCGAATAGAATTAGAATACAGATAATACTGTTGATGAAATAATTTTTTTTTTTTTTTTGCATTTATCTAAACAGAATAAAAGCAAGAAAAGATTTTAAAAAAAAAAACTATGGAAAACAAATGAAAAGAAATAGTTAGTTACCTTCCAGCATCTTTGGACACGGATACAGCCACCCCCAGCCCGGATGCAGTTACTCTCTTGCAGACTGACTCCATGTCAATAACTGAGTTGATGCAGTCTGGGCCTCCCACAATGCAACACTGTGAGTCCGGACAGAAGCTGCTGTTGTCCAGGCCTTTGTAGCCGTGATTTCTGCCACACTTCTCCAGTGTCACAGTGGTGGCCATCCCTGAGACTCCGACATGAACTACCAGCTGAACAACAAACACACTGTTAGAAGAACTGAAACAGCTTCCCATCCTTCTCTGCTAAACCCTTATAACTTTAGTCTTAAACATAAAATTGTCTTCATACATGACAAAACCAAATCATTGTGATGACTTCAAGAAATAATTGGAGCTAACTGTGTTTATGTTGTTTCAAGGCCACATTTGCAGGTAAACGTATTTCAATTTGAACAGATAAAATCTTAACCAGTTAACCTAACATTTAAGACACATGCAGCACAAAGTTTAACCTTTAAAAACCAGGTCATGTGGGATGGTAAATGATTATCTTAGTTCTTACTCGTGGTTGGTACTGTTTCAAAAACTTTGGAACCATGAGCTCGACTTTCTTGTATTCCACAGGAACCTCGTATACATGCAGGTCAATGTTATTGCCCAGTCCAAGCTTCTTCATTTCCTAAAAAAAAAATAAATAAATAAAAGGATTTAAGAAATGCTTTACTGTTAAAGAAATTTAAAAGGGGATCAATTACTAAATGTGATTTTTTTTAATCATCCTGTGGCAAAACAAAAGCCCTGTACCTAAATTATCCATCGGTAATTTGACTTTCAAGGTAGCAGACATTTTATATATATATAAAAAAAAATAAACCTCCAGAAAATAAATTTTCTTTCTTAATTTATTAAAGATGTACTTTAATCAATGACAGATTTGGTGCTGGTTCCTTAGTGAACAGTTCTTTTAAAGCTCAGAACACTAATTATTGATGATCTTCCTTAAGAACTACAGATAACATATTTATTTAGTTTCTGCATGAATGAAAGGTGAATGTCAAAAGTGGCAAAGCCTTCACTGAAAATCCGCAAATATAGTAAAATCATCTATGACTAAATAAAACTAGCATGAATTATATTATGCCTTCTCTGGATCCATTTACAATAACAGCTACATCCAACTTCATATATGTGAGAATAAAAAGACTATTAATTTATTTTACCAGTAAAGAAGCTGTCATGTTGTAGCAATGATCATTACTTATAATTTTATCAGATTATATTATAAAATAAGTGTAGAGCAGAAATTGAGGCTAGACTGCTGTACATTAAATCCTGATTATGTAATCTTTTCAAACTAAAACAATTAAATGTGTGGTTATCTTAAGCCCTTTTTTAGCACCTTAAGTTAGCATTTAGTTCAGTTAACATTGGTTTCTGTGCATGATCCCGATAAAGTTTGCGGTTCTATAACCGTACAAACATTACCCAATGTTCTGTGATAAATAAAACTGGACCCTTACAGTCTAAGAAAGAGGAACTTTCAAGAAAAGTAATGTTCCAATTCTTGATATTTAAAGCCATCTTCATCTAAACGAACAACCAACACGATTCTCCTTACAACATCTTTTATGCTTTGTGTTGCAAAGCAGGTTCAACAGAAGCCACCCCAGTTAAATGAATATTAAAATTCATAGTACATAACATTAATGTTGCAATTTAACCCATACTAGTCTAGCAGGACTATAAATGTATTTAATGTATTCTGGCCTACAGGCCAAAAGAAGACTAAAAAATACCAAAAATGTATTCAAGGATTGGCAGAAAACACAAGCGATCTGAAACAAAAGTCATTTTAACACCAGACACTTCTCGATACAAATTGTTTAATAATAATCAAATACTTTAAAAAACAACTAGACCCAACACATGGTCACTGACATAGGCAACATTTAAATTGATAATTAAAGACCTTAGTTCACCACCAGCTCAGTGGTGGGCAGACCTGCACAGATTTTCTTCACCTCTGTGCCAAACAAATTAAAACCATTTCATCAATTGACTTGGACAGATTATGAAGAGTAATAAAAAAAAACAACAGCACATTTTATAAAGCAAAGCAAGTCCTTTCAGCATCTCAAACCAGATAAGACAGACAATGTTCATATGCTTATATTAAAGAGATCTACATCTAAAGAAAAGAAAAACAGCAATAAACGCCGGGGTGGGGGGGTTAATATGCTGACTGAGGCAGAGAGGTGATTCTCAAAAAGCAATTAGAGAAGTTTATCTTTCTTTTTTCATGAGACAGATATGCCACGCTTACCTGCACTGAGACCCTCATTATTTCATTTTTTGTTAGACTCAAACAGGATCACTGTTTTACTATTTCCGTTTTTTCTTCTCCTGAAGTTATTTTTTTCGAGGACAGTTATAAACTCCACTTTCTGTCCCTGGTTGTTTTTGTGGGGCTCAAAGAGCATCACTATTTTAACCATTTTCTGTCCTCCTAAACTCTTATCATGGGTAAAGTATTCTTTTTTAATGTTTCATTCATTGTTTTTGCACGAGTCCGTCCCGCTTACAATAAACTCCAAAACTGATTCTTTCCTTGTGCGATTAACAGATTTTATTTAGTATTTACCCCCAAAGCGGATGTGTTTTACTCTGTAACCGCAGCTCTCTCTTCCTTTCACAACCATGAAATTGGCGCTGAATTGCTGAGTAGTACAACCAAAATCTCAGTCAGAGCTATGCCCCCTTGCCTAAAATTGTGGTGGATGTATGGCTGGACGATATACAAAAAAAGCATTTCAATAAAAAAATGCATATTGATCGATATTGATAATTATCTAAAAGATTCTAGACACTTATTTCTCTGGTTTCATTCTCTGTCTATGTAGTGAACTGAGAGGCTGAGGTAGCACTTGGATGTGCGACTTGACCAGAGCTCCGATGGTGTGGCGTAGTGAGACACAGATTGCAACTTATTTTACCATGATTATCTGAACTCATTGCACAGATGAAGGAGTGCTGGGTTAGAGAAAAACTTGCAGCCCAGATTTTCATATATATATAAAGCAAGGTTTTCATCGCTATGAAGCATGTTACTGCATGGGTGATGTCCTTATGTTGCTTGGATGCTTTGTCATATTTATCACAAAGGAGGAAACCCAGTTTAGCTTGCTTTGCCTGCTTTGTTTCCTGAAGATTCATCCGATGACGTAGAACCATGCCGGGGCCGACACAGCTCGTTCTCCATTGGGTGTGAGCGGCTTTGATGATAAAAAAAGTTTGTTGTGTTATCAGACTTTGCCAGTTCCCTGCAAATTTTACAAATCACTGTGGTTTGTTTTTTGTATGACTTGCAATAGCCGAAATATTGTCAAACTGGCGAGCTACTAAAGCCCTTCTTTGGAACAATTTCCTCCACCTCTCCTGCTGCGTCATCTTCACCTGCTCTGTGTTGTGGTTTGAGAGACTGGTGCTTAGTGACGGCGTGCCTAGGTCCACGTTTGCAATTGTTTGGGAGGAACTGATGACTGTAGCATCAGCCTACATGATAGATAGACGTGTGGCGCAATAGAAAGCTGCAGTTTTCCTTTCTTTTCATTGTAGCCTATCAATCGATATATATATTGTTATTGAATTATGGTCTAGCCCTAGTTAGGTGTGATCATCCCCGTTCACTTTTAATGAGCACTAAAATCAAATTCAGTGTGTTCTGGCCTAAGATTTTGTGTCTGATTGCTACTGCAGATATTTTTCGGATTACATCCAACGGAAAGGCTTTTATTGAATTTCTATGGTTAAAAAAATTAAACCTAAACTAAAAACAAGAAAGCTGGACTGATTTTTGTGTTCTATAACTTAAAACCATTACCTTTAGCTCAAGTCCATCTGCTTTAGTTTGTATTCAGATCTGAAACTTTTTCTATCCCTATTTGTCCACTTTCAGTGTTATTTTGAGCAATTAAACCACAAAATATAAGGTTCAGGAACCAAAAAAAAAGCAGTAAAGTTACTAATAAAACATTAATAGATCTCCAGGCATATTTCTTCCGACTCCAGGTATCAGAAGAAATATTATCAAAGATCACTTCATGTCTTAGAAACCTAAAAATCTATGTTATGATTTTGCCTTAATATATCAGAATTTTTTTTTTAATATCAATACCAGGTATTACAGCACAAAACAGTTTAAAAAAAACAAAAAACTTCTATTTGATGATAACCTTCATGCAGGTCAGTCACATCTTTTTTACTTTCTGAAAGGATTCTTGTAAAGTTACTGCCGTCCCAGATTACCCATCCCAAGGTATCCATAACTCATAAACAATGCTGCTAAGCAACAAAGATTTTATCATAAATTTCATAAGGAAGACAAATCTGTGTCAAATTCACAGCCAGCGATCCCCCTCAGTCTCCATTTAGGTCAAGTCAACCACCCCACCACCCCCAACACACACACACACAGAAGTATAAAAGGTCATGTCTGTGACCCTGCCTCAATGCAGCCTTTTGTTGGGCTCTAATATCCTTATCAAGTCCGTCTAGACACCCTGACAACCACCATCATCCCCCACATAAAGCCTCCAGCAAACAGCGCTGCACAGTGTGAAGCCGGCCGGGCGACGGCCATTAAAGTGTCACATAACTGTCTGCCATACAACAGCTTCAAATGTGAACAAGAACCTGTGATACAACATGGAGAACTTTACTAGCATCAAGTGTTGTTATTGCATGTCCGCACTAAGAGAGACTCTGCAGGAAACATTAAAACCATTTTCAATTCTCATTTTCCGCGTCCATTTACCATTAAATAAATAATTGTAATAATGTTCAATAAATCAAACAGATGAAGGGAATACCTGCACTGCTACCCAGCTGGCGTTGACAGTGTGTTCTCCAAAGGGTCCAAAACCTGCAAGAGACCCGATGTTTATTTTATCCATTTAAGACTATTATCATCACTGTGTAAAAGTTAAAACACTTTACTTGAGGATTAACTACTGGGAAATGATTTTGTAAATATTATTTTATTTAATTTATAGAAGGAAAGCGTAACCATTTTACCGTTAAAATATTTTAGGCCTTAAGATTTTAAAAATAAAGTGTTTTCCTTTTAATGAACTGGAAACTAGATATGCTTTTCTAAAGTTTATGGGTAATCATTATTTTGTAATGCTCTGAATTATTAAATAAAAAACTTAAGAAAAACATCTCAAGAGCTAATTACTACTCACTCAGACTTGTTTATACAGGGATCTATGACTGACCCCCCTTTTTCCACCACCCACCCCAGGGTCAGTGGGTCCCTGGGGGTTGGGTGGAGAAAGGATCAGTCTGTCTGACAGGCTGCTGAAAAGGAGCAGAGCGAGGGGCCAGCAGCTGCCAGCCGGCCTGCTATTGTGCAGGAACCGTTCCCAGGCAATCGACACGTCTCTGCAATCTTTTGTGTCTGACTACACAAAATCTCAGTCTGGTTCTAGTTTGAAAATGAATTATTAGGACTGTAAATATTGCAATATTTCTTTGCAAAACAATCAAAAACATGTATGTTTTACTTATTAGAATCAGTAGTAACTTCAGAATACTTCAGTTTGTTGAATAGTGACTGAACAGATGTTAAAGGAAGAAAAAGCTGCTTGAAATTAAGAGGATTTAATCCTCTTAACTCCACTGTCAGGCAAAATATTGCAGTTAAAAACAAACATGGCAGGACATATTTTACTCATAATAATTTTATTAATGAGTGATTTCTCCGGCCATAAAGAGGTCAAATCATCAGATAAACCCTGAAAAATCAAAATAAAGTTAAAAATAAGACCAACCAGAAATGTATTTGAAAACTGCCCATTCAAAAAAAATGTTTATATTTTCTTGATGTCGACAATTAGTAATAAAATACAGCTATTATTATTGATAAAGATCACAGATCACTCTCTAACTAATGTTTAAAAATCGAGATAAAGTCATTAAAAAAAAAATAGTATCGCATTATAGACAAATAAACTCTAAGAAACAGTAAACCTAGACAAACACAGATCTAATAGTTTTTTTTTTTAAACAGCAGTAATAATTTGTAGACAATTCTGCCCTGTTCAATGTGGACGTTTATAAAGAGACAATAATGAAATACTCAGCAGCTGTCTAGAAGCATGTAAATAACTGCAAGTATAAACCAAAGATAACAAGAAAGCGTTTGGTTCAGGGTGGAAGTGAAGCTCAGGAGAACCTGACGCCATTAAGGCAGAGCAGCTGTCATCTTCGCCAACTTTTCCTTTACTTTATTCCCCTGCCAGAGCCTCCATGAAACAAAACTACTAAAACAACATTGAGATGAAACACCAACCTGTCACCAACACAGTCCGGCTGTTGTTATCCATTTCCTAAAATGTCGCCTAGAATCCTCAACTAACTCGGTTTGTAAACTGAAGCAGATCCGCACAGAGAGTCAAAGCCCCCCTAAGCTGACTGCTCCTTCTGCCACAATCAGAGGAATAGAGAAATCCTCCTTACGTCTACGTGCTACGTCAAAAGCCGCGTCAACACGTCGCATTCTTCTTCTTCTGTTTTTGGTAAGCGGTTGCCTTGTCAACCTTTGTTAGTTATTCCGCCTCCCACTGTACTGGAGTGCGAACGAAAGATAAGGAATAAGAAAAAAATATATATTAAAGGAATAGTACACCCAAAACATGATTAGCCTTCATTTTCTACTCACCCCCATGCTGAACAACACTCTGGAGTACTTTTTTGATATCTCAAATGCATCTGGAGATCTGGGAGGCTTCTTGCTGTCTGCTGACATTCAAATAATGGAGGTCCATGGCGCCCGAGACAGAAAGGTCCATAAAAGTCCACAAAAACGTGTCAATATTCCTCCATACTGCTCGTCCAATGTAATCCAAGTGTCCTGAGTGGGTAGCATCCAGAATTTACTCGAAACGAAGTCATTTAGAACGTTTTAGATTCTAAACAGTAGTGTATAGGATTTCCTAATAGCGCCCCCATGCGCGCTCACGATTCTACGGAAGCCGGCAGACCAAACCGGAAGAAAGTGCGCATTCAGCGTCTGCTCTGCCGATAATGCAAGCGTAGAAGAAGAAATGTGCTGTTTACCTGTGCAAAGAAAGAAACAACGAAAGAAAAATGTCTGAGGACTTCAGTGATGAGGAAGAGCATGAGTTCTTTGCCGAGCTGAATGCGCTGGTTTGGTCTGCCGGCTTCCGTAGAATCGTGAGCGCGCATGGGGGCGCTATTAGGAAATCCTATACACTACTGTTTAGGCTCTAAAACGTTCTAAATGACTTCGTTTCGAGTAAATTCTGGATGCTACCCACTCAGGACACTTGGATTACATTGGACGAGCAGTATGGAGAAATATTGACACGTTTTTTGTGGACTTTTATGGACCTTTCTGCCTCGGGCACCATAGACCTCCATTATTTGAATGTCAGCAGACAGCAAGAAGCCTCCCAGATCTCCAGATGCATTTGAGATATCAAAAAAGTACTCCAGAGTGTTGTTCAGCATGGGGGTGAGTAGAAAATGAAGGCTAATCATGTTTTGGGTGTACTATTCCTTTAAAAATACTGCTGCCGTTGGCCCTTATTCAGACTCTTGTTTTAACATTTAACATAGAAAATTTTGTAGTTTTGAAACGGTGCTTCTTTCCTCTGCTCTATAAGCTTTAATTACTTACACTGAATAACAAATATAGAAATTTTATTTGGGTGCTTATGCTATCTTAAACAGTTTAATTTGGTCCAATATTTTATATTCTGGGAATTATTCTTTATTCCAGTCCAATTTCTTAATATGTTCTTAAATGTTTGTACATCCTAGAGATACGGACAAAACTCTTTAATTGTCAGAGTCCAGTAAGTAAATTAGAGAGAGAGAGAGAAAATTAAGGCATCTGCCAAATGCAGGTTGCAATTTTGAATTCATTATCTGCCCTAATGTGCCATAACTTTATAGGCAGGACATGTACAATTGTCTTGGATAATAATAATAATAATAATAATAATAATAATAATAATTATTATTATTATTATTATTATTATTATTAGAGAATGTCTGTAGATGTCAGAGCTCTGAAAGTATATATTTACATATCCTGGAAATATTATACCACAACTGTCCACCTTGTGAGGCTATTTGAACTGCAGAGATCTAAACACTGTCCTCTTGTCACGTAGCTGCGCAAGAATTTACAAAGATACACACATTATTTTAACCAGCTGGAACAACATATTAAGCATAAAAGCAAAGGATTTCGAAGGAGAAAATAGTGCTGAGCTCAGTGAGCACGTTGCAGAGGATGCTGAGAGGAAATCAGGAGTTGATCAGTTTTGACGGATTGCATAAGCTGTAATCTGAACATAGCTTTATGGCTTCCACATCAGGTGGGAATAGTGCAAAGGAAATGGTAAGGATGACGTCTAGATAGTCACAAAAACAAGAAATAAGGTCAAGAAAAGAAAGAGGTAGAAGTTATTCAGATGGTAGTGAAATAAGAGAGGAACAAAGTAAAATGACAAAAACCAATGCAAACCCGATAAAACAAGTGCTGGGAGAGCGAGCAAAGGGGCAAGAGGAGGAGAAAGGGATAGTTGAATTTAAACAAGAAGGAGAACCCTTACATCCAGTTAAACTAAAAAGAGCAACTGAGAAGGAAATTGGATGTCGAACAAGAAATTAAAGGAGGATGAGTTATTGATGCAACAAGGACAAAACACAAAATAGATGGAGTTGTTAAAGACACTATGGCAATAATTTTACCTCTTTAGAATGTGGTTCCAGGGTCTGTGCAGATTGGTTACATAAACTTCAGGGTTAGAGAATACATTCCTGATCCAAAAAGGTGTTTTGTTTGTCAAAGTACGGAGCACATAGCAAAGCTGTGCAAAGTGTGTGGAAGTGTGACAAAAATGCCACACTTCCACACACATGTTGTAATTGTGAAGGAGAACATAGTGCAGCATATGGTGGATGCATAGTAAACAGGGAAACAAGACAAGCACAGAGAATAAAAATATCAAGAAGATTCAAGTCAGAAAACCAATGACTCACAAAGTAAAAAGAAGAAAACCATTTTCAGTACGACAGATGAATGTAATGTATGTAAGCAGTAATGTAATGTAGATAAAAATACAATGATGGTTAAAAAAAAAGATAACTTTGTGGTATCTATTTGTCAATTAATAATTTTACAGTGCACATTAAAAAGAAAAGTTCATCAAATTAAAACAATTGTAGAAGCAGCAGGAAGGTTTCCTGACATTAAAGATGCAAATTCACCAACCTTTGAGTTTAGCTTGAAATTACCAAGAAAAAAGGAATAATTGAAAAAAAAAAAGTCATACATACAATTCAGTGGAAGTCTCATAGTAAATGGTCAAGAATTTAAAAAATATTTAAATGAATTAGAAACACCTACAGATGTTTTATGTGTCCAGTAGACTAGGTTAAAACCATCTTTACATTTAAAAATTCCCAGTTACAGTTCAATCAGAAAAGACAAAAATAAGAACAGCAATGGAGAAGGTTGTGCAAACTTCATTAAAGATGGATAGGCGTATAAAGAGAATCATGTACCTGGAGAGTATGAATGTTTCAGTGTAGAAATAAAAATTAGAAGAAATTGGCAAATATAAGAATTCAAATTTTTTTTAATCCATGCAAAATGTTAGAAAGTGAGGTATTTAATAAAATTTCGAGAAAGATAAAGATAAAAGAAATTTGGTATGGTGACTTCAGTGCATGTAATGGCTTATGGTGAAGCAGACAGGCAGACAATAACGGTAGTATAGTGGAAGAAATAATCGATGTCTCTTAATAATGGACAGGAAATAAAATGCATAAAAGTGCTGTGTCATGCCCTGATTTAACTTTAGTATCCAGCTCAATCATTAGTTCTTGTGAGTGTGGTGTGTGGAGAGAATCCACAATAGGAAGTGATCAGTTTCCAGTTAGCACAATTATTAAAGATAAGTTATTTAGAAAAGATGAAATAAAGTTTACAAGATGGTGCTTTAATAAAGCTAATTGGTAATTTTTTTTAAATGTGAGTGATCAAGCAAGTCATTTAGTGACACTGAAGGGAAATGTTGATGAGTGCACTAAACAGGTAACGGAACATATACTAAATGCTGCAGTTGTTTCAAAAGCAACAATTAAGGTGTGAGTGTGTGTGTGTGTGTGAATGGGTGAATGACTGAAAGTAGTGTTAAGCGCTTTGGTCAAGTCTCCTGACTTGAAAAAGCGCTATATAAGTACAGGCCATTTACCATTTACCAAGGAAAGAAAAAAATTGTGCCATGGTGGAATGAAGATTGTAGAAGACTGATTAAAGAACGAAATAAAGCCTTTGAAATGTTACTGACAAATTTGATAGAAGAAAATCTAAAATATAAGAAGAAAAGGGTGGAAGCTTGTAAGACAATCAAAGAGGCTAAGATGGAAACATGGAGATAGCTCTTCCATAGAGCACAAATTAAAGTTATGGTGGAGGAGGTTCTTTTTCCTGGTGGATCATCTAAATAAGTGGTCCTCCGAATTGTCAATCATTCTGGTGAGATGTTTACGTAAGTGCTGTCCTATGTGCTTGTCCCCATTTTCACTGGTGTTACTGGTGTTGAGTCTGACATAGTGGAAAAATTGCAAATTCTTTTGGAAAGTAAGCTTGAGCGATACAAACAGCAACTTTTAAAAACAGTGTGCATGAGGAGAAATGGGCTCATGTATGCTCTTGCACACAGTCAATAGACGTTTCCTCTCGGGAGCGGTAAACAAAGGATGAAGGAAAGGTGGCAAAAACAATGGGAAGAAGAAAGGAAAGGAAGATGGTTTTATAGGATTCAACGGAAAGTCGGAGGAATTAGGATAGTAGAAGGAAGCAGAAGAGAGGAAACAGTTATTTCAGGACTTAGATTTCTGCATACAGGATTTAATAATACACTATTCAAAATAGGGAAACATGTGTCAGGCAAATGTGAAGTTTGTGGACAAGATGAAACAGTAGAACAAGTAGTGATGCATTGTAAGAAGTATAAAGAAGAAAGAATTTGGTTAGAGACCTAAATAAGGAGAAAGTTTGATTGGATTTGATATATATTCTGCAGAAAAAGTAAAAAAAAATGTTATCAATATTTATTTCAATATTTAAAAATAACAGGAATAATTAGGAGGATTCAGTATTTTTAAAGTAATATTATAGATACAGATATATAGATAAATAAATGTGTCTTTATGAATAGGGCCATTCTGACTCCCCACCAGTTGGTGGCAGTAATGCGCACCGAAAAGTTGTTTGCCAACCGCCATCAAACGCGACAAGAAAAGACAGTAGGGGGCGGTATGCACATGTCAGTTGCTTGCAATTCGCCAATCAAAGGAAAGAAGAAGAAGAATTGCAGGTGCTAAAATCGTGTTGTACTAAGCAAGAGACAGAAAAAATATAACGCCAATCAACCATCATGGTGAGTAAACAACAAAGAGGTTTGA